CAAATTCCAGATCAAGTAATTATATTACAGTATATTATTTTTTGAGTCCCTTTGGGTGCTGGGACTCTACAAAAACGAAGGAAAATATTGTCAAATGCACCTATCCAATCCAAATTAGGAAAACAGAACAGGTCAGAAACACAAAGCACTGGATAAATCCCAGTAGCACTGTAAAGCACCTTTTTCCTTCCCTCCAGGTACACCATAAAGTATTGGATTACCTCCCACACTTAGCATAAAATTCCAGATTAATCCCAGGACTCTTGTAAATGTGTCCAATTGTAAGCCAAATGTAAACACTGAAGAAGTGTGTTTAAAGGAGAGATTTAAGTGAAAGTGGCTGTTGGAAGCGCAAGGAAAGGGAAGTAGTTTCAAGACCCAGAGGCAGCAGGTATGAAAGCACTAAAATGGGGGCAGATTGGTCCAGGCTGAGTGGGATGCTGAATGCACAGCAGCTTGTCTGGTAAATGGATTGCATTTTATCTAGCCAGACCATTTGCCAGTTAACCCTCTTCTATTTCTTCAAAGAGCAGATGGCTGCCTGCTGGTAGCAGAAAACTGGAATGGTTCTATCCCCAAACCAGAACAGTAGTGACCCTTAAAAAAGTAGACCAGAATCATTAACACCCCAGCCTCGGCCCAGGACTTTGACTGTCCAGTCCTTGTTAAACTGGGCAGGGAGTTTATGGTGGGCTGTAGCCTCAGCCCTTCCTCTGCACTGTTCACCAGGGCTGGTTCAGTGCAGATAGGGGAACAGGCTGCCCCATCTCAGTGGATTGTGCAGCCTGCACATTCCTCTGCATGCCAGGGAGGTCAGGGTAGGACTATGCCACCTAGACAGCTCTATTCCTAGATTTATTACTGATGGATGGTGTGTGGCCTTGTGCAACTCACCGTGTGTTTACCATGCTGCAAACAGAGTTGCCTAGACCGGCTAGGGCACAGGGACACTGCGCTGTTACAGGCCCACACCTGTACGCTTTTTTCTCACTTATGCGATTTCCTAAACAATGCCAATATTCTTCACTATTGGCGATGTTCAGTCAGGGCTTGAGGGCTGCTAATGGCCTACATTCAGTAGAATCACAGTGATTTAATGAGGAAGGGCAGGAGGGGGGGCAGTAGAACAGGCACACAGGATGACTGCTGTTGTAATAACTGGGCCTACACATTTACCATTATTGTGAACTCAGTTGTGAAAAGTGAGTGAAAGTTTATAAAGTGTCACTATAACCTATAGCAACAAATGTTGATGGGAAAAGGTACTAAAGGGAGACAGAAAGATTGAATTAGTTAAAAAAAAAAAAAGGTCTACTGATATAACTCAAGAACCAGGTTGAGATCATGCTTGATACACAAGAAAAGCGTGGAACAAGAAATCAGTGAACCAAAATCAGTGAATTGGAAAATAGGCCTAATTCAGGGGCAAAATAATGAGAGGATGGACTATTCCACCCATCACTTCCTTATGGGGTCCTAAAAAAAAAGACTTTGAGGAAAATACCAACAGACTGCGATTCTGCCTGACTGAAAAACGTGAGAAGGGTAATGAGTGAGCTTCACCATTATAGCTGCCACTTCCACCATCTTCTGGGACCCCAGACCTTCTTCCTCCTAATCCTGAATTATATCTTGACCAGACTGGGCCAGAGAGAGTAAACCAGATGACATCGCTATATCCACCGGCTTTGGCTACATCCCAAATACCACCTTGGATGTGAGACTTGGTACTCCCCCTCCCTATATGTGTCCTTTTCCTTCCCTACCTTATTTCTTTTTTTCCCTATCTCTCTCCTTTTTCCTTCTAATAAATGTCTGGCTTAGCTGGCCACAACTACATATATTGCTCCTGGCCTGTGACCAGAGAAGATAACTAAATGCAGTGCCCCAAACAGCCCAATGCTGGTACAAGTTTGCCAGGTCTTGGAGTGGCTGATAGGCCATGTGCTGCGCCTGTGTTTTTCCACAGTGAGGTTGCAAGTGAGAGTCAACACCAGAGACAGACACTGCATTTTCTATCTTTGCTGTTCTTTTCTTTCTCCTTTTGTGTGTTTGTCTTATTTTGTCTTAAAGGAAACAGGATCGGACTTTAACAACAATAACAACAGCTCTAGCCCATTGGAACTAACGTCTATTTTCTTCAAAAGGACAGTTGCCTCTATCTCTGATAAAAGACTATCTCCTAAAAGACTGTTAAACAAAGGAGGTTTTCCTTCTAAAAACTCTTTCCAGCTAAAGAGAAAGGGAACAAGGATGTTGTTAAAATGAAAGCCTTATTTAATACTTTACATTTTAGATGCTTTAGCTGTTTTTCATTTTTGTCTGTATCTTTAATTAAAGATTAAAAAGATTTTTAATTATGTGTTTGTGTAACCCACACACCTCCTGGGTGTGGTGTTCTGTCCCATCTAGTGGCACCGAGACCACTTAAAGAGGGAGATAAAATGAGTCTGCGCTACAGCCTGAGCTAACAGGCAGTTGGCTTTTAGCTCACATGGTAGAGGCTTGTGCACTAAGCTACAAAGGTCCCCAGTTAGATTCCGCCCGCCAACAACCAGGATCTCTTGGCATTACATTTGCACTAAGTAGGCTGAGGTCTCTATACCAGTGGCTCTCAGTCAGGGGTACACGTACCCCTAGGGGTACTCAGAGGTCTTCTAGGAGGTACATCAACTTATCCATATATTTGCCTACTTCTACAACAGAATACATAAAAAGCACTAGCGAAGTCAGTACAAACTAAAATTTCATACAGATAAAATGAGAAAGTAAGCAATTTTTGAGTAATAACATGCTGTGACACTTTTATATTTTTATGTCTGATTTTGTAAGCAAGTGGTTTTTAAGTCTGGTGAAACTTGGGGTATGTAAGACAAATCAGACTCCTGAAAGGGGCACAGTAGTCTGGAAAGGTTGAGAACCACTGCTCTATGCCAAACCCTGAATCTTGTTTAATGTTGGACACTGAATGGGTTATATTAACACCTTTAACTCTTTATTCCCTCTAAATTAATACAACAATGCACACGCTCTGCACAGAATTGAGCTACACATCAGCTCACAATAGCCCATTGTGGAAAGGGGCTTGGTGGTGGGGTATGGCTACTGGATTCAAATTTATGCAGACCAAAGGCCACAAACACTCGAACAGAATTAACACAGGGATCTTAGTCCTTATTTCCAGGGCTGGATTAAGACACAGAAGTGAGGCAGAGTTGCCTTGTGCCTTTTGTGTGGTTTGAGGTATATTCTCTTCCCCCACAACCTCTTCATAGTCCCGTGAATTTTATTCAATGTTATTAATTCCTTCCTTTTTTCTCAAACTGACTAGATGACTTCTGAGACTGGCCACAAGACAATTGCTCTCACTTGTACCATAATGCAAAAGAACCTTCAAATTGCATTAGCAGATTCAGGAAGTTTGGGGGCAATTGATTTGGCAGAGCACCTTAATGCCAATCTTCATAGTAATCTGAATTTAAGAGCTCTTTGGTGTTTACTGTTGTGTGTACATTACAACAGTGTCAACTGCAATGTACCCTTCCCGTAATTTAGTTCTATATGATTTGCGCTCCTTTACTGATCTTCATTCCCCTGCCTCCGATTTAGGTTATCTGTGCTAATGAAACATTAAAAAAACATCTGATGCAACTCCCTTACCCAGCAGAGTTAGTCTTCCAACCTGCTGTTCATGATCTTTAAAAAACGCTCCTGTACATTTAGATTGTTTTGCTTTTTCATTTAAAATCAAAAGGCAAATAATAGAGTACATTTTTACAGCACCTAAGTGACACAGGCACCTAAGACCCATTATCAAAAGTGACAGACACATAGGCGCCTAAGGGTTTGTGTACACTTAAAACGCTACAGCGGCACAGTGGCACCATTGCAGCTGTGCTGCTGTAGTGCTTCAGTGTAGTCACTACTACCCTGGTGTTGGTAATCCACGGCCCTGAAAGGTGGTAGCTAGGTCGACAGAATAATTCTGTCTATACCAGGGGTTAGGGCAGTTTAACTACGTCTCTCAAGGGTGTGGATTTTTCACACCCTTGAGAGATGTAGCTATACCAATGTAAATGCCTAGTGCAGATCAGAGCTTTCTTATTGACTTTCAATGAGATTTAGAGCCTAAATGCCTAAAAGCCAGATTTTTAAATGTACTTAGGCGCCGAAAGATGCAGCTAGCTCCCTAGTGGAATTTTTAAAAAAGCAACTAGACTTTTATATCCTACAAGGCACTTATCTGCATTATTAGGTGCCCACACACCTTTAAAATCTGGCCCTCAGTCACTTTTGAAAATGTGATATAGGTTCCTAACTCACTTAGGTGATTTTAAACTTTTTACACCTTGTCTTTTTTAAGGTAATCTTTATTTTTGAAATTAAATGTTTTTTAAAGGGAATTTAATCATTATTGTGATTTAGTTGTCATTTGTCCTGAACCCAATGGTGTGGCAGATTCCTTCATGTCTGTGTTTCACTGATGTTTTGGTTTTAAACTACTTTTCTCACTTACACCAGTTTTACACTGCTGTATCTCTACTGGCTTCAACAGAGTTCCTGCTGGTTTGCACCTACGTGAGCAGATAATCAGGCCCAATAGCATTAACTTTAATAGGAGCAAGAATTGGCTATACTACTAACTCTGGGCCAGACATCATAGGGTACGTTCCTGTTACTAAATATAAAGCAGCTTTTCTCACCTTACTGTGTTTCATACACATAATGGAGGTGTCAGTAACTACTCAGCATCTACCACTCCCTAGTTACTATACTACCATAGTATCTCCTCTTCTGGGAATGGGAAGATACTATTGTTACCTTGATCAATAAATGCAGCATTTCCCTCAGCACCTGATGCAAATGATAATAAGAGTTTAATAAGGCACAGGTGACAGATTCCTCTAAACCCCCCCCCCCCGCACCACAGGTCCCTTTCCCATTTTGTAATCCAGTTGAAACATACACGACTTAAAGACCAAAAAAATCTCTTTACATACCTTCGATGTGAAGCATAATTCCCAGTAATGTGCCCAGAGCCATCGCAACCAGGGGTCGGACACCTAAAATAAATTTAAAAAAATATTAAATGGAGTAATTTACTTGGAAGAAATAAAACCCAGACATTAACTGCCCACCAAAAACTCCCTGCTTGGGATGTCATTTCCACAGGTGCCAGCCAGGGAGAGCCCTGCGGGCTTCTTTGGCTCTGCCTCCTCAGAGCTTAATCCCAAAGCAGGGGGTGGAAAAGCTCTCTTTACACTTTGCTTCCAGGCCACCTCCCACTCAGACAGCATCTGGCCGACACTGGCATTAGAAGATGAGCAAGGGATTTCCGCAGCTAATTAGCACCAGCCAGATGTCACCTCACCACAGCCACCTCACCTATGGAAACAGATCAGGCCTATGCTGTATTGCCATTTACTAAAATAAGGATAACTTTACATGTTGGGCATCCTGCTACCAAGTATGGTTATTGCTGTAGCCCACCCTACGCAGACTCATACAACCTGATCCCTTTTTTTACTAGAGGAAAAGCCGCTGAGAAAGGCCAGGAATGCAGGCATGGGGAAAAGGAATACTGCCCTCTTGTGGTCAAATTGCAACCTAACTAACAAACAAACTGGACAAAAGAGCCATTAATGTAATCATGTCCTGTAGAATTTCTAATGATTATACAATATTTTAAGGAATATAGAAAAAGGTTCTACACAGAGGTGACAGGCATGCACACTACAGAATAAATTAAATTAGAAAGCTTAATTAAAATAAACAGCGTGTATCTGAACTTCTGAACTTGATCTCATAAGAGCTAAGATGTATTAACTACAACAAGTGCAATGAATTAAAAGAGAAGCGAAATTACTTTATGTAATACAATCAGACAGATACTATACATTTCCAAGACACACTAAGTTTGTGCATTTCTGGACTTCTAACTGTTCTTTAAGAATTCAATTCAGGAAAGCATCACTATTCAGGAAAGCATTGAAGCATTGTTTAAGTCCCAATGTGCTTGAATCTGATCTCCCCAGTTAAGCACATGCTTAAGTGCTTTCCTGAATGAAGGCCTACACTCATACAGATAAGACCTTTCTCATAAAGGTTTCTGGGGAAATCTAAAACCTTCATAAACTCAAAAACTGAAATAATCATGAACTTCGATGTTGTGAACTCCTATGCCCCGTAAGGCTGAAATTAAATTTCTGTGGAGCTCAAAATCACCACCTACTGTTGTGGAGTTTCACAGGACTGAAGGTTCAAGGGCATTTGACAAAATCCACAGGGGCACAAATTAAACTAGAGTTTCTGTTAACTGGAGTTGGGATACACTCTACACCTGGCAGTGAATTAACTTGCTGTGATAGTAATCAAGAAGAGGCAAGCAACAAGAGATGATACAACCAGAAATAAAACAAGTGGCCAGCAGAAGGATTTAATTTCTGATGCACGTTCAGGACATATTCACACAGGAACTGAAACAGAAATCACTAAAGCAGTTGTAAATCACACCTTTCCTTATTTTGATGCAAGCCTATGTATAGAAACTAGTAGAGTTTTAGTTTAAGAGTGTCCAATTTCAACATACTGTAATTGAATTAGTTAAAAATAAATTAGTAAAAAATCAGCATATATAGAGCTGGGAGTTCTTTTTCTGAAATGAGTGTCCATACACAGACTTGCAACAAAATAACTAACAGGGTGAATTACAACCACTTCAGTTGCTTTGGTTTCAGTTACTATTCAGATAAATCCTTCTGTATTTTCTGAGTCTTTAATAAATAGAAGCATTCCTCATAATAAACAAATGTATATTTTAGATATATTATTAATTCACATAATATTCCTGAAAACTATAACTAATTAAGGCACCCTTAATTTAACCATGAAGCAATTTCATGTAACTAGAAACAGTATTTGGCATACTACTGGAATTTTTTAAAACTACTATATTAATGGCAAAAAATGAATATGCAGCAAACATATTATACATTAAAATGAAGCTCTTTCCCCCCTTCATAAATAAAGGGAAGAGAATGAAGCTTTTCAAACTGATTCATGCTGCTACAGATGTTCTTTACAGAATGTTATTTTTCAGAAACTATTAATGTTTAAGTTTCAAAGTAGCTGAAAATTGACCAGTTGAGGCTCTGGCCTGGTCTACACTACACAATTAGGTCAACATAAGGCAGCTTATGTCAATCTAATTATGTCAGTGAACACACAGCAGCCTTTTCCCACTGATGTAAGTGCCCTACTACCCCGACATAATAACTCCACTTTCACGAGAGGCGTAGGGCTTATGTCGGTGTAGTCAGGGCGATGCAGTGTCTGTGTAGGCACTGTGTTACTTACATTGGCTGTTGGCTAGAGCCCTGAAATGGACAAGAAATCTGGCCCGCCTGGCTCCCCACTTCCCCACTCAGGGAAGCGAGAAGCCCGGGCAGCTTAGGGTGACCAGACAGCAAGTGTGAAAAATCGGGACAGGGGGTGGAGGGTAATAGGAGCCTATATAAGAAAAAGACCCCAAAATTGGGACTGTCCCTATAAAATCGGGACATCTGGTCACCCTAGGGCAGCTGCCCCCTGCTCCTGAAGGGGAACGGGAAGGTGAGAAGCCCGGGTGGCTGCCCCCCCACTCCCAGCTGGGGTCAGGGAATCAAGAGCCCGGGGGCAGCGGGGCTCCCGGTGAGGAGCCATGCGGAGCTGAGAGCTCTGGCTCTCAGCCCCTCCCTCCCACTGCCCCTTTTCAGTTGGTGAAAGCGCTCCGGGGGAGGACACGCGCCAGCGACAGGAGGAGGGTAGTGTGGGGTAAGTCGACATAGGTCGACTTAAGTCTGTAGTGTAGACATGCCCTATGAAAATTCCTTTTTGTAAAAACTTCACCTCTTTCTATTCCCTTAATAGGAAAGAGCTTATGAATAAAGGTGTCAGCAATCTATATGCGCTGAGAACCTGTGGAATATCATAGGTTTATTGCACTCAAGTAAGTTTCTTAGAACCAGAACAACTTTGGGTGAGCAGGAAGACAATATATCACTCAGAGAGTGGTGGCTGGAGACACTGCCTGCAAAAGCCGTGAGAAAGTGTTATGGATTTTCAAAAGTGCTCAATGCTGGCCTAACTCTGCTTCTACTGAAGTCAACGGAAACTGAATTAGACCAGCACTGTACACATTTTCAAATCCCATCCTATATCTTTAGAGGGAGTAGGTTCACGTGTAATGCTCACAAGCAATCTTCCTACACTTTCAGAAAAAGTGTTACCTGTGTATCTTATAATACAGGCTATCCAGCTCCTCCCAGGACTTGTGCATATGTGGGAAGGGGAAGGAAGGAAGGCAGGCAGGAAATGCCATGTCCCATGCCCTAGGGTGACCAGACGTCCCGATAAAATTGGGACCGTCCCGATTTTTAGCTGTTTGTCCTGCGTCCTGGACGATCTCTGGTCGGGACGCAAGTTATCCCAATATTTCGCTCTGCCGGCAGCACTCAGTTTTTTTGTTTTGTTTTGTTTGCTCCCCCCCGGTGTCCCGATATTTTCTTCCTCTCATCTGGTCACCCTACCATGCCCAAACCATGCCTTACTTGGTGTGTTCAAGGCTGGAAATGCTAACAGTCCCCCTTGGACTTCAGCAAGTACTGTGTGTAGCATAATAACTGGCTCCTACACAAGTATCAGGGGGTAGCCATGTTAGTCCGTATCTACAAAAACAACAAGGAGTCTGGTGGCACCTTAAAGACTAACAGATTTATTTGGGCATAAGCTTTCGTGGGTAAAAACCTCACTTCTTCAGATGCATAGCTCCTACACAAGAATTCTCGATGCGAAGGGGCTATCTATTTTATAAACTATTGTATCAAGCACTATTGGTTCCTATGCGTTTGTACAGCACCAGGCACACAGTGATCCTGATCTTGGTTGAGACCTATAAACAATGCTGTCGTACAAATAATAAACCAAATGATGATATCTAGGTATGATATGCAAACCTATCTCACTTTATTCTTGCTATTTTGTAAGCAATAGATGGCCAAATTCTGCTCGAGGCTGTACTTGTGTATCCCCACTAAAGTTACTGGGGATGCTCGGATGGACGTGAGAGTTTGGCTCTACGTTAGGCTGCAAGTTCCTTACTCAACAGTTACACAATTTGGGGGTTCTCCTCATGCCTCATACCAGACACAGATAACTAGCACACACATTCTGGATTGCATAATTGTTTTAGCTAGTGGACATTTTAAGTTTAAAACATTAAATGTTTAATGAACATGATTAAAAATAATCCCATTTAAATACTTTATGTCTAAATATTTCGTTTTTTAAATTTAGAAAATTGGGCTCAGAGATCTGGGTTCTATTCTTGTCTCAGTCACTGGCCTGAGTTACCTTGGGGAAGTCACTTCATCAATCTGTGCCTCAGTTTCCCCATGTATAAAATTCATGTATGGAGACATACTTCTTCTGTAAAGTGCTTTGAGACTGGCAAATGAAAAGCACTAAATAAGGGCTAAGCATTACTATTATTTTTTCAGGCTGTTCTCTTTTTTTCATAAGTATTACAGCCACTATACTTTAGTCAGTTTCTCTTCCTGTCAGAGTCAATTACTTCAATGGAATCTAGATCAGACCCCTAATGATACCATCCCATGGGAGTGGGCCCTTCATTATCCCATTAATTAAATGTTTGGGCTGAAAGTGTCTTTAAACTTAGGCTCTGAATGTACCCTCCACTTAGGTGAGATAGGAGAGCACAGATCCATCCAGCTTCCCCGCTAGAGCTGTCTGTGGAACCTAGAGTTCCCTTCCTCATTTATCCAAGAGATCAGCAGGGTTGGGAGGCCAGAGCCTCCTCCATAGACCCTCTAGCCTCTCTCCCTGATGGTGCAATATGATAGAAATTGCACACGGTGAGTTTCCAGGGTCTATTCTTACTCTCCCACAGGGTATCTTCACAGGAAGGTATGATTTGCCCCTAACTAACATGATTTGTAAGCAGCATTAATCTTTTTCTTGAAGTTAAACCCTTGCATACTCCCATTTGGACACTTATTTCGATGGA